TCGCAGGCCGAATGGTTTACTGAACAGTCATAAACTGTCATTGTGATGGAAACGCAGCGGAGTGCAGTGATGACAGTGCGGTGCGGGCCACATTGCAAGGCCTGGTGGGACGGATTTGGCCCGCGGGCCTTGTGTTTGACACATGTGCTCCAACCAACTGAGCCACACCATCCAGGGAACAGAGGACAGTTCTTAAAAGTGAATTTTATAATGTCATTCAAAGAACTAGAGTGGTTTCCCACTATAAAGAGAGCTAGAGGCCTGGTGCACAAAATTCGTGCATGGGGGTGCAGGGTAGGGGATTGTCCCTCAGCCTGGTCTTGGCCTGCAAAGATGCCAGCATCCCTCACCTGGCTTCTAGCCAGAGGTTCCTCCCCTCCTTCCACACAGCCTCTGGGAAGATGCTTGTCCTGGGGCCTCCTCAGGGCCCTGGCCCATGACACCCTGAAGCTCGGGTACTCGGGTGCTTGGGCTTTCAGGTCCGGCTTCCTTGCCTGGCTGTGCATCAGCTGCCATGGGAGCCTTGCCTCAGGAGTTTCCCCCTTGGACCTTACTTCTTGTGAGTGTATAAGGGGGGCAGCCTCAGCACCGGTGATTTGATGGCTGTAGCATGCCTGCTGAACAACCCCCCAACCCCCAGCCTGCTGCGGCGCCACGCTGGTCCTGTCTGGACTGCTGGCAGGGGGCTTCCAGTCTGTTACTGGAGCTTCTGGGCTGTGACTGGGGGCTATAGGTTGAGGACCCTGGCACCCATAGGGCTCTGCAGTATCAGGAATTGGAAAGATCCGTTTTTCTGGTACCTTCTCTGCCACGGGAGATTGAGCTTGGGGCCCCACAGGCCTCTTCCCTCCCACCACAAGGCAGGCCCGGCGCGAACTCCTTGTGCTCAGACTCTGGGCTTGGGACCCCACAGGCTCCTTCCCTCCCGCCACACAGCCATCGGGGCATGGACACTGGGCCCACAGCCCCACAGGCCTCTTCCTTCCCTGCAGCATGGCAGGCCGGAAGCAGACTCTGGGCACACCCCCCCACAGGCCTCTTCCTTGGCAGGCCGGGGTGGGGACTCTGGGCTCTCGGCCCCAAAGGCTCCTGCCCTCCTGCCGCACAGCCAGTGGCAGCCTGAGCTCAGTGTCCCACTCCCAGTCGTCTGGCCAGAGACCCCTCCCTTCCCTCCATGGCCAAGGAGTAGATACTGGGCTCCTGTTGCCTGGGCGATGCCACTAGTGTCTGCCATGGGCGCCATCATTTTTGGTCATGGAGTGATGGCTAATTTACATATTACTCTTTTATTATATAGAATAATATAAGCTTAATGGTAAAATCCTTCCACAACTTGGCTCATGCATATCTTTGGAGTGTCAGTTCCTTCTTTTCTATATAACACTCTTTCCTCCAAAGCAAGTTTCTACATAATCCACTGAACTCACCTTTTATTTGGACTTTTTCTTTTAAAAATCATGGTAGTAATAGTCTGGCTGGTGTTGCTCAGTGGTTAAGCATCAACCTATGAACCAGGAGGTCATGGGTCGATTCCCAGTTAGGGCCAATGCCCTGATTGCAGGTTCTATCCCCAATTGGGGCATGCAGGAGGCACCGATAGATGATTCTCTCGCATAATTGATGTTTCTGTCTCTCTCCCTCTCTTTTTCTCTCTGAAATCAATAGAAATATTAAAAAAAAAAAATCCTGGTAGTAAAAGTCTGCTTATCTAAGATGCCTTCCCAATTCCATTCCACAGTGAAATTTGTACATCGTTTAAGTCCCAGGTCACAGCTCACGTGTAATGTGAGTAGATTGGCAGCATGAAAAGGTAGCATGATGGATAGAAGGAGAAACAAGATATTGGAGCTGAGAGGACTTTACCATTTGAGTGCTTCTCTGTTCTATTTGCCTCCCATGAAATATGTCAAACTAAGGATTGGCTTGACCTTCTGACATCAGGATAAAGACCTTGTCAGCTTTCAGCACAGTTAGGTTTGTGTGCAGTGTAATACTTGAAATCATTTTGTCTGTCCAACTTTTGTTTCCTAACTATAAAAGTTAGAGTATACCATTACCTTTACAAGGATGTTGGACAGATTAAATAAATAGACATATGTAAACTTTCCAGGCATAGTATCTGGCAACTAGTAATTGCCCACAATTGTTTGTTTCATCTGAGTCTCCAAACCTAAATTATAGTAGAATTTCTAACAGTTTATCTTCCCCTCTATATGTTTACTGCCCTACTATGATAATGTTATCTCTTTGTAATCTTCCTCTTCCCTCCCCTTCCTCTTTTCCCTCCCCTCTTTTCTCCTCCCCTCTCACCATAGCAGGGGGCCAGTGAATATTGACATGTATTATTTTTACCTGATGGCATAGAATTTAAGTGTAACTATCTCTTTCCTTTTCTCCCAACCTCAGTCAGATACCACTCCAATCCCCATACATACCTACACATTTACTTGGATCCAAGCAATAATAGATTAATCTAGTTCCAGTCTCAGTTAGAAATAAATAACCTGCTTTGCTCTTTGGGAAAAATGGAAGAGGAATAAGATGGGTGAGATTACAAGGTTGGAGTCTCTTTAGTATCCTCTGGTATCCAGGAGGTGTCACTACAACCTTATATGCATTGTGAAAAGGTAGACCACACCTTTTGCTTAAATGTACCTCTTACTGTAGTATGCAACTCTGGATACTGACTTTTCTTCATCTGGCCTTTTAAATTGTGCATGCATGGCTATCAAGGGGGAAGCATTGAAATTCAAGGCACAAATCCTTAAGTTATCCTGAGAAGTGATTGGGAGTTGCTGGAAGGCTGAGTGATCTGGTTCAATTGTTGTGTATGGAACAAATAATTTGAGGTCTAGCATCCAAAACAGTTTGGAGCTAAACAAAGGATAATCTATGTTTCCAGGGAGCTGAGGCCAAGGTGTGATGATTATTTACAGGCCTGTTCATACCCTTCTTACAAGGAACTTTCACAGGCAGATATTACTGGCCAAAAGCATGTGAAGAAATCTGTGGTCTTCTTTTATCTCTTCTATATCTAGAATTCATCTCTAGACTCAACAGAAACCAGTTGAGCTTTCCATTAGAGAGATACTTGAAGGCTATCACAAAGGGGGGAAAAATACTCAAAAATTTGGTAAAACTAAACAAATAAAACCAAACTTATCATAAAATACCTAAAAGCACTGTCTTTGAATGGTAATGTGCTTACCTATACTCCCTCAACCCAAATGACAGCTTTCTCTGTTCTATTGGCCTCTGATGAAATATGTCAAAATAAGGATTGGCTTGACCTTCTGACATCAAGATAAAGACCTTGTCAACTTTCAGTACAGTTAAGTTTGTGTGCAGTGTAATACTTGGAAAGGAGACCTGAGAAAGGAATGGTTTGGGCATGACTAGTAGGAGAATTTTTCCTGTTGTATTAGAAATAAACCAGTGTTCCTGATGGAAGGAAAAGGTCACTGTGCTGTGGGACACGCCTTCTGTGAGATGAGGCTCTGACCACTAATGACACTTGTGCTTTTCATTACAACAGAGGTGTTAACCACATCGTGCTGGCTGTGTTCCAGCCCAGGCCATTGCAGCCTTCTGCTTCTGCAGCCTTCCTCCTCTTTCCCTTGGTTGGCTGTAGAATTCTTCACTTCCTGTCCTAAACTTTTGTGAGGTGTCATGGCTGTTAAACAGCTGCCATGTTGCAGGCCAGATGTCGCTGCACATTAGTGTGCATGAAATGTTCCTTCTTATAAAATATTAGATAGTTTAAAAATCTGTTTTGAAGGTTTGTAAAACACTTAGGATTCCTTTAGATAAGAGGGCTATTTGTATATTCTTAAATTGTGTGTGAAAAATGTGCCAAAGTATACAATTCAAAGGATATAAATACTATAATGCCTCTGTCTCCTGATTGTGAAGATAAGTTGCCAGCTATTTTGAGGAGAACATGTGGATATAATCCAATTAGATTTTCAAAAATCTATACTAAGGCTTCTAATCAAAAGTCTTTAAAATGTAGTCATTGCATTGGTTTTGGAGTGGGAGTGGTCTCATTTTGACTGAAGTAAGGACTTTTTAGGAATAGGAAACAAAAGGACAAATAATGCATACTTATGTTATTTTAAAGGTTTTATTAAGGTGTAATTTACATAGAGTGAAGTCAAAAGATCGTAAGTGAACAGTTTGATCCGTTTTCACAAAGGCATACTCTTGTATTACCCCATTACTATCAACACTCAGCACATTTTCATCACTTCAGAAAGCTTCCTTATACTCTTTCCCAGTCAGTGCTCACCCTCTCCCACCCTTAAATAACCACTGGTCTGATTTCTGTTATCATAGATCGAGTTAAACTATTTTAGAACTTCATATACTAATAAATAGAATTATGTGGCATGTACTTGTTTTGTATCTGGCTGCTTTTATTCAGCATAACATTTTTGAGATTTACCTATGTTTTTCTTTGTATCAGTAATTTGCCCCTTTTTTGTTGCTGAGTACTAATCTCTTATATAAATATCACAGTTTGTTTATCCATTATCCTGCTAATGGATATCTGGATTGTTTCCAGTTTTTGGTTATTATGAATAAAGTTTCTAGAAGTTCTTATGCAAGCATTTATTTAGACATAGATTTTTATTTTTCTCATATAAATACCTGAATCATAAAGTAGAAAGATATATGTTTAATGTTGTAAGAAATGGCCAAACTATTTTCCAGTTGTTCTATTATTTTATACTTCCACCAACAAGGTAAGAGAGTTCTGGTTATTGCATATACTCTCCAACATTAATTCTTTTTCATTTTATGGTTTTTAGTGGATGTGGAATGGCACCTCATTATTTCTAAGTTTTTATTTTAAATTTTGCCTTTATAGAAGCTTTATAAATTTGGATTTAGAAGTTTCTATAAACTCTTCTCCTAGCTTTCCTTAATGTTAACATCTTACATATCATGGTACATTGGTCAAAACTAAGATATTGTTATAATGCTATTAACTAATCTACAGCTTTTATTTGGATTTCCTTAAATTTTCCCACTAATACCCTTTTTGTTGTTATTGTTGTTCCAAAATACCACATTGTAGTTAATCTCATGGTTTTAATTTGCACTTCTCTGGTGATAATAATTTTTCATGTGTTCATTGGCTAGTTATAGATTGCTATTGTTTTTATAAAGTGCCAGTTTGTTTATTTGTTTGTTTTGGGAGGGAGGTCTTTATTTGCCTTTTTCTCACAAAATTTTGAGAACTCCTTATTTATTCTGGTTATGGATCCATTGTCAGAAAAATATGTGTGTGTGTGTGTGTGTGTGTGTGTGTATGTGTGTATATATGTATATATATATATATATATATATATATATATATATATATGAAGTATAATTAATGATAGAATTCCAATGAATAATAAGGAGGACTCAGATTTAATATTTTGAAATTAATCTGGAGAGAATATACTAGGACTTCTTCAGAGAGGTAGGTTGAACTAAGTTTGGACTCTGAAATATAAACCTGAAGGTGAATATATCATGAATGGGCCTAATAATAGTAGTAGCAATAGTAATTGTTTATACTTGGGTGCTTGGTATATAGCAAACTCTTTGCTCATTGCTTTATAAACATCATTTCATTTTATTCTCACAACAATCTTATGAGGTAGGATTACTATTATCCACATTTAAAGGTAAGAAAACAAGGCTTAAAGCTGTTAAAGAATTTGTTCAAGTTACAACTATAAAATGGTGACTTCAGGGTTTGAATCCAGGCAGTCTGACTCCAGAGTCTGCAGGTTTAATTTTTGTGCCATTCTAACAGAAAACAAAAACAAAAACAGTGAACTTCAGTGTATGTGACTACGGACATGGAAACCAAGAACTATGGAATAGTGTTTCTGATGTCGTTGTGGCAAAAGTTATTGATAACTTTCTGGAAAACCATTTTATCCTTGGATAAAACAGTGCCCTTGTACCTAGAGTATCATGTGTAATTTTTTTTTGTCACCATAATTCAAAATGATGGAATCAGAAGGTCAACTAAAATAATAAAGGAAGAAAAGGAGGAGTAGTGGTGGTGGAGGTGTTCAGGAACAAATTATACAGATTGGAGCTGTAGCATAAGAGAACCATCATAGAAGTTTCTTTAGTTTATAGAAGCTTAAGTAAAATAAAAGGAAGAATTCTTTTATATAACTTATGGAACTTATTAACTAAAGAGAAATAGTGAAGGGTAAAAAGGGTAGAAATATATTCAGAAGAAAACTTGAAAGGTTTATAAAATGACAGGTAGGGAACAGGGATAATCCTAAGGTCTGAATTTGTTGTCCAAGAGGACAACTATATTCAATTTAAAAAAAATTACATTGCAAAACTTTAGGACATTTTATATATCTGAACAACTTGCCTTTTCCAGAATATGACATTGTATTCTTATATTATCATATATGCAGCTCTGTCTGGCTCATATACCCTAACCCTCTTTATCCTTTAAGACTCAGCTCAAAAGACAATTCTTCTGTGCAGCCTTATCCAATATTTCTAGGTAGTTAGCTTCTCCCTGCTCTATTATCCTTGTGATTTATTCTATTTTAGCACCAATTACAGTGTTTAGGCAATCTTACAATCTAAATTTTTACTGGTGAATAACTGGATGGCAACTCTTGAAGTCAAAGAGAGAAAAAAGGGGACAAGAATGTATTATCTTCCTATGTGCCCAGAACTAGAAAACTGAATACTGTTTAACTGCAGTTATTCCTACCATAACCATTATCCTCGTTGTGAACTAAGGCTCAGAGATGTTAAATAATTTGTCCAGGTCAAACACTGCAAGAAAGTATAACCAGCATTGGAACCCAATTGTGTCTAACTTCAAATGCTGTGCTTTGAACCAGTATATTATGAATACTTTTTGACTCCTATATCACATTTTAGTTTACTTCGCACCTGGCTACCACTAAGTATGCCTGTAGAGAAGAGGGATGATACTTCTTTCCATAAGCTATTAATATTTGATCTCTTTACAGGTCTTGTATAAATAAGCTTATCGATTGCAAGGCTTTTCTTATACTTTATTATTTCCACCATAGATTTAGCACAGTGTCTTGCACATAGTAGATACTCAATGAAAATTTATTGAATTGAATTATATCTTACTGTGCTCCAATGATTCAATACAAAAGCTGGGCTGTGGCTTGGGAATTAAATCATCATTGCCTCAACTTTCTTATAGATCTTTCAGTAAATGATTGGCAGCAACATAATCTCATGTCTATACTGGAATATATTAACATTTTCTACTTCAGAATGTCTTAGTTTTTTCTTTTTAGGGAATTATTACTAAAGATGTTCTATTTAAAAAAAACACCCAGTTACTATGAAAACACAACTATTTAAATTTTAGCATTAGTCATAAAGAAGTCAGAAAGCTAAAAGGCTGAGGGGCTATTCTAGTTTCCTAAAACCCAAGGGAACAATAAAGTATTTTCTACAGTAAAAAAAAATATGTTTTTTGTCATCTTGAACATTTATTTATAAAAATTAAACTTGCTTACATAATGAGCTTATCCTGTATTATGAATATTCAGTAATAAATTGTCTCTGTATTTTAAAAAATATATATTTTATTGATTTTTTTTTTTTTTACAGAGAGGAAGAGAGAAGGATAGTTAGAAACATCGATCAGCTGCCTCCTGCACACCCCCTACTGGGGATGTGCCCGCAACCAAGGTACATGCCCTTGACTGGAATCGAACCCGGGACCCTTCATTCTGTAGGCTGATGCTCTATCCACTGAGCCAAACCAGTTTCGGCTGTCTCTGTATTTAAGGAAATTAAAATGTAGTTGGAAAACAAGATAAAGCTGAAAGATGCAATTGATAAAGATGCATTTGGTTTATTTTTCTACATTAGTGGAAAGAGATCCGTGCCTTATGGTTTTAGAAAAATATTTGTGGAACTGATGAAATAGAAGAGGTGGTTGAAACCTGAAATGTTTAGAGTTAGGGTTAGGGAGACAGTGGAGTTAACTGGGTGCAGCCTGCTTTGAATTGCTCCCAAGTAGTTTTATGTGGCTGGGAAAAAACAAACAAACAAAAAACACAAAAAGCTAGTCTCACTTCAATTTCATGAATTTCAATAACCTGGAATAGGCCATGGTGATGCTCAGCGATTTTATTGTTTTTCTTATCCATTTACTCTCCTATTTTTTTCATTTTATCTTCTCTCCTCAGAATTTACAATCCCTCCTCCCCACCCCCCATATCCTTTACTTTCATTGGCATTCAAACATGGGTCCTTTTTAATCTACATCAGACCACTTGACTCTTCTGCTCTAAACCTCCCATTGGAATCTCATGTTTCTCAGATTAAAGCCAGAGTTCTTACAGTGGCCTAGAAGGCCCTGTGGTCTGTCATTCACCCTATATCCCACCCCATCTTACTGCCTACTCTCCGATCTTTCTCCTATTACTCTCTTCCATTTGTTACCTTCACTGGCTTCCTTGTTCTTCCTAGGAAATATAGAATGTACTTTTATGTAAGGGGTTTTGCATTAGCTATTCTGCTTCGAAATTTCCCTCAAATGCTTTTGTGGCTTGTCTCTGACTTCCTTAAAGTTTCTGTTCAAGTGACAGGGAGGTTTTTCCTAACTACCTATATAGAATGTTAATCCCCAGTCTGACCTCAGGACTCTCTAGCACCCTTATTCTTTTTTATTTCTCTTTAAATTATATATTTATTTATCTGTTTAGTTTTTGTCACTTCTCATTTGAATGTAAGGAACTTTGTTTTGTTCTGAGTTATATTCTCAGAGCCTACATGTTGTTAACACTCATTAAATTTTGAATGAATGAATGAATGAAATAGACATTTGAAAAATGGGTAAACATTTCAGATGAAGGCTAGAAAAGTCATTACATGTTAGGAAAATAGTTTAAAGAAATAAGGAGAAGTGGGAATATGATCAATTTTAGAGACAGTGAGTTGACTAATATGACTGAAACATTGGGCTTGAGTTGAAAAATGAAAGGACAAAATTTGTAAAGTTATGTTGGGATATATTGTGAAAAATTCTGAAGAACAAGCTAAGATATTTTATTTGCATATTGTAGATAATGAGAAGTGATTGCGGGTTTTAGAAGAATGGTTTGTGTATTTCCTTTACCAGGAAAGAATACCTGAAGCACATTCCATAGAAGCTTACAATCTCTCCAGTGTCTCTGTTGGGAAAGCTCCAGGAGCTTCTCTTATTTTGGAATCTACAATATGAACATATTTTCATTTTTGAGCTGGAAGACACATTAGACCTGTTGTTTAAACTACTACCATGATGTTGTGCTTTCATGGCAAGAACCATTGTTTAACACATTGGCATTTAGGAGTCAGTAAATATTGATTTTTTGAACAATATTTGTTGAGTGGAAACAAGTTCCAAAGAGTTTGAGTGAATTACCTTAAAGTCATTCAACGGGATGGTTCCCAACTCTAGAGTTTTGACAACTGTTCTTTTACAGTAAGTAATTAAAAAGAATAACTATACACTCCAGACTCTAGACTTAGATTTTTTTCCTCCTTAAATGATTATTAAAATATAACATTTTTGTTATAAGTAAATAATGAAATGAAATATACTTTGGATAAAAGTGCAATGGAATAGAACTATAGGTAGAACTAACCCTAATTGATTGCTTAATTAGAATTATGATCTTATCTAGAATGCATAGTGAATTTTCTTTACCATAACTTTATCTTGGCCTCTGGTTGGTTGGTTATTGGCAACTCTGACATTAGAAAGCTACATCTTGATAGCTCTTTTCTTCTGATTCTTGATTGTGTTTTTTTACATCTTATCAAGAAGAAACCAATTTTTTTCCTTTGCTTTCAGATATTTATGTTTAGTGACTTTACCTAGAAACTGAGTCAGGAATTCATTTGTCTATATGAGAGTCTTGTTAAGTGTTAGGGAACCTATTGAGTTCATAGAGAAACTTTCTCCATAGGGTATCCTTTTGCCCCCAGCTCTTT